GCCGCCGCCGCCGCCGCCGCCGCCCAACCGGCCGCCCCGATCAGCGCCATCCCGCGTCCTCTGAGCGACGAGCCCGCGTCCTTCCGGGGAATGGGACGAAGCTACAGGAAGGGGAGGGCACCCACTTCCTGTTCTCTCGCATAAGCCGTCCTCCAGTTCCGGTCGAGTCCCTTCCCAGCATGGCCGACGCCCACTTCCTGTCCTCCCCACCTTGAACTCCCCTCCCCAAATGGCCGAGCCTTACTTTCTGACCGGCTGGAGGAGGGTCCCGTGTTTTAAATCCTCGGCGAAGCCCTGCTGCTTCGAACGCGCCTCTTCCCATCGGCCCTCGTGGCCGCAGCACCAGCGGCAGTCAGCACGTGCTCCAGGAAAGGGGCGGAGGGATTGGATCTGGGAGCCGCGATGCGTGGCTGCCGCTGCTGTGGGGAGCGCCTGAGAGCCGGTAGTGGCGGCGCGCGGCTGCGGGAGACTGGGTCTCTTTGGCGTCCTTTCCTTCCTGAACGCCCAGGCGAGAGGATAGAGCTAGCGTTCTTTGGCCGCCGCTGCAGACATCGCGGTTGTTTTCAGAGGGCTAGCCGCGGCCTCTGCCCTTCGCGTCGGGGGACGGCTGGGCGGAGCGGGGCGCCCAAGCTAGAACCGGTGGCAATGGTTCCGGCCCGCGTCGGGGCTCCCTGCGCTCGCTTCCGAACACAACCCTGGCGTTATGATGCTTTGCACGATTTCCACGCTAGGATACTACGGCGCGTGCCGCAGTGCGCTGCTGTGCATTCAGTCTGATTATTGTTATAATTATTAAGATGTCTTAGGGTTCAGCCCTAACGCATACCTCATCCTGCCCCATGAAACATTTTGGGGTGAAGCAGGTTTTTATTTAACGGTATTTTTGCTTAATGTTAATATTCGTTAAACGGGGGTGTGTATTTAGATACAATGCACAATATATGTATGATCTTATTGGAGTGTTTAAGGATTCAAACTTATTAAGACAAATTAATTTCTGTATTGTTTAGACTGGAAGCTTTAATTTGCAGCATTCCGTTTTCAGCGGAGATGAAATCTCCACGGGCTTAGCGTTAGAGATAGGGCAAGGGTTAGGGATAGGGTTAGGGATAGGGATAGGGATAGGGCAAGGGAAACGTGTTTGAGCGAAACAGCCTGCTGCAACTGCGAACACGCGCGAAGGAATACTGTATCAGCTAATGCTGCCCTCCAGTGGCTCAGGCTGGCATTGCACCTGGGAAGCGCTCGGTTTGCGGATGCAAAAGCAACTAACTACTCCTACTCTAAGTCTTTCTGAGCAGCTGTTCAGTTTTTGCTCTCTTAAGTGCAATTGCCACCTTGCGGCCCCAGTGTCAGAACCTGCATCAACCAACGTTGTTAATTTACAAAGCATAGCAGTCAATGGGAGCTGGCTTGATTTGCCCCTGCCAATTGTGACTGGGGAGGGGGGCTGGTAGTTAAGGGTTGTCATAGAGTAGTCCCGGGAAATGGTGAGGAGCTTTACCTCATATGGGCAATGAGGCCGGGTCGGATTGCAGGCCAGGCCCGCGGGGGCCTGCTGGCCAGGAAAGAACTGTGTATCCCTGGGAGGAAGGGAAGAGGTCACCACCAGGTGAAGAGGAATTGAGGCGCCAGGGCAATTAGGGGAGGGGGGATAAATAGAGGGGAATTTTTCCAGGCTTTAGTTTCAGCAATGTTTTGTTCAAAGCTACATGTACCACAAAATAAAGGAGCATTTTCTGAACCAGGCCTGGTT